TGCTAGACAGTATGCCTCCTCATACTGTGTGCTGCCCTCTGTGGCATAGTTTATGGTTCTTTGCAATGTAAACATGGTTACATCGTATATGTAGTGAAGTTTGGGCTTCATTTAATTGTGCAACTTCAGTGTGAAAATGAGTTGTATCTTATAAAAAGTAAAGTGTTTTCTGTGGATTTTTCTCTTTTGGAAGATGATGCTGCTGACAGGCTCTTTGCTCTGTTTGAGACAGTAAAAATGTATATTTCTGTGCAAGGAGTGATTTTTCTGGTTACCTGCTTGTTTGTCCATGGCTCCTTTTTTCATTTGAGTTGTCCTGGAAAGATAAGTTCTTCCCAAATGTGGAGAACTCAGAGAAGCAAGAAGGTTATGAGTCACTGACTTACACAGAGTGATAAGAATATTCAGTGCATGTTTTTGTTGGATTGGCTTTTGCTCGGGAGAGGAGAAATCCTCAGTGGCTTCCCCTCACCGTGTTCTTAGGAGAACTCTTAAAAAAAACCCAGTGAATTTATTGTGAGATTATATAAATAGGAATACCTTTCAAGGGAGGAATAAAATGTGGAGTAAAAGACTCCTGCATTAACAAGGAGGTATACTCAGGTTCTTAGTTTGAAAAGGAGCGGGCAAACAAATGGCCTGTCTTTAAACTGGCTTAGAGCTGTGCAAGGTGGTGAATAGGAGGCAGCTTTTTACCTGCACTGTTAGGGGTAGCAGAAAGACACAGGAAAATATCTGGCTTTTCTTCATGAATGCTAGGCTGCTTTAATGCTGGGCACAGTCCTTTGTGGATTGTAGCTGCCAAGGGGACACTGAAGATGACAGTGTCATCATGTGGTGCTCGTTCCTCCCTTTTAAGGTGAACTAGAGCTGAGGAGCTTCCACTGTTCTATCCTTAGCTCACTAGTGTGAGAGGGCCTGAAGTGGCAGAGCCCCTGCGTGCAGGTTTTGTTAATCAAGAATGCCAGTGAGATGCATAAATATGTGTTTGAAAGCAGAAAAAAATAGTCCGTCCAGCTAGAGGCCTGGGAGTAGACCTTTTATTTTAAGATAGCATTGCTTATCTAGTTGTGTTTTACCTAACCTAGTGCTGCTTAGAAGACAGATTTAATAGGGTTTTCCTCCTCTGAAGCTCTTTGGATTATTGGAATGTTTACATTGGTAATTATTACCTGTCAAGGGAATAGAGATTTAAGAAATAATTTATCTAAAGTATTAAATCTGTAGGTTTTCTTCCCACTACTTTGTAAATTTGCATATATTTAAAATAAAAACAGGCTTAACATGTAACATTCTGCCAACCTTGGTGCTGGAATGAAGTTTGACAAATTCTTTGGCTACAAGATGTTCTATTTTGCCATCATCACCTAGCTGACTGCCCTCCTGTAGAAAACTGTGTAATGAGAAGAGCTAGTTAGGACTTGAGTAGAAGAGTACTAAAATATCAGCTTTATGAATGCCCAAAGAAGTGCAGTACAGCATGGGAAGACTTTTGAAGTGAGGGATGTGCTGCAACTTCATTAGTGTCCTTTGAGTCAGTGTGTCCTTAAAACTTGGCATAATGTAATGCAGTTCCACTTGGTGCCCTGAACCATTACTTAGATTTACAAGAAGATTCATTTTAAAGGAATTATGCTACAATTTAGCTGGTCAACAGCTCCACCCTTAAATTTTACCAGTGGTACTGCTCTTGAAAATGCTTTTTACACTTAATGGAAAATAACAAAATACTAAAAAGAAACATGATGGTTTGATTTCTGAGTTTAGTGCAGCATGTAAAAGATTGAGAATGTTCCTGTCTTTGCCACTGATACTTGTGGAGAAAAAATTTGGTAGTATCACTTTGTAGTAATTTTTTCATTAAGTAATGTCCCTGGGTAGCAATGAAATACAATGAATTGTGTAAAAAGTCTGTTAAAATGCCAGAGGCAAGTGAGCTGTGCAGGTGAGAGAAACCCTCCTTACCTTGTTATTTCTCACCCCCATTTCCCCCAACATTAAAGAACATTGCTCTAGTGAGGGGCAAAAGGGAATTCTATGTGGAGGTTTAATTAAAACCAGTGATTTTTACTGATGTTATCAATCAGCAAAGATTGAGAGAGAGGCTATCTTGCCAGAACATGTAGTGCTCTTGACAGGGTAACTACATACTCAGGACTGTATTCTTAAGGTAAAATTTTAACTGCTCTAGCAGATCTGAGGCAGAAGAACAATTTGTCTTGAAACAAAGGTAAAGGTAGGGTTTTTTTCTTAAATTTCTGCAGGAGTTTTGTGAATTGTAGTTATGCAGGTTTTTAGCTGTGTTAACAGTTAAAGCTTTGACAGTATTTTCATTTTTATACTGCACATACACACACACACACATGCCTTTTCACCCCCAGGTAAAATTTGTTCTTCGCTGAAATTCAAATCTCCTCTGACTTTGAATGTTACTTAACCAGCTTAAACTGACTGCTTGTTTTTCCCATAGCTGAATAATACTGAGAGGAGGATTCACTTCTAAAAGCATATTGTTGTCACTTCCTGTAAACCACATTATGGCCACACGGTTGTTCATTTGTATACAGCGTGTCAGACGAAACCATAAAATGTGCTAATCTCACCTTCACCAATGACATAGTCTGTTTTCTGTTTGAGCCCCAAGGGCCATGTTGCTACTGATTGGAGTTTCTTACAAGAGTCCATCCTTGCTTTCTCTGAGGAAGAGAACCCTTGGACCAGGGCAGGTCATCATAAGGCTGCTGTGCAGGTTTGCAGACATAAAGCCTCAGTAGGTGCAGTAAAGTCCTTTCTGAGCTGCATTGGGTGTTTCTAACACAGAAATGGGCATATTCCAAGGGGCCAGCAGTACTGTATGGAGCTGAAGGAAGACTGCAAGCTTTGCTCAAAAGCCAAGCTTTAAGCAAGCAAAAAAATGCCAACAAAACTAGTGAAAAACTGCTTGTTACTGCTGAGACTGATAATGCATCTTTTGTACTCTGCTTTTCCCATGCTATGCTAAGTCCTCTAATTAGGCAAAGTCCTTTAGGTAGGCTATGGCTTTCCTAGGTATGGAGGTTTTTTACATTCTCTTTGGACGAATGCTTTAAATTTTGTAAAATATGGTTTTGCTTACCTTTGAAATTATGGAAGTCTTGAGATAAACAGATCTCTGTTAAGATAGCAGCTTCCAAGTTAGTGTTTTGTTTTGCTTGGGTTTTTGTTGTTGTTTGTGTTTTGTGTTTGTTTTTTTTTTGACATATTAAATATTGACTCTGGGTGTCTTTTATCTATGCAGTAATAGTTTTTCCTGAAAGGCTGTGAGATACTTCAATGAAGTGATAACTGTGGCAATAGATGTTTTGTGTGCCTTTCTAGGAGATGTGCCCATGGAATAGTGCAAGAGAGACCCAGGAGATGAGCTTGCCACAGTTTCTGTCAATAGTAGCAGCTCCCTCAACAAAACACAGAGAAACTGAAGTTTATTTATTTCCTTCAGAAGAAGGGAAAATGTGTGAACAAACCTACCTCAACTCCAAAAGCATAAGGATAATTGGGGTCTGTTGTTCAGAGACTTTGTTCTGTTGTATTGCATAGAGGGCTTAATATTATACTGCATACCCTTATTCTCTATGAAATCTGACTACTTTTTCCATTCTAAGTGTCTGAAATTCTTGGTGCTCTCACTTTTTGGGCATGAGTGGGAAAAGGGGGTGTTACCAGATCTGAACCATGAATGTAAAGTGCGGAGAAAGGTTTCTTGACAGTAAAAGTATGTGAGAAGTAGGAAAATGAAAATGTTTGGAGATTGGATCTCCTTTTGTTTCGTATCTTTTGTTTGTACTTAAATTCTAAGTTAAATGCTTATTTTTAACAAGACTGCAGATTTTAAAGTGTTTTTCTGTCTTGATCCCTTTAAAGGCAAAATAGCAGAACTGCTGTTCTGTGATTGTAGCGCATAATTCCCCATCTCATGTTTTAGTGTAGAAGCTGAACTTGAGCAGCTAGCTCATTTTCCTAGCTTTGTTGTGGTGATAGAGCTTTCAGCTTGCTGCATGCTGGAAAGTGGGGTCAGTGCAGGTATGCTGCAGGCAAGTAGCACAAGAGGTTGTGGTGGTTGTTTCCTGACTGATGAGAGTTAAATAAAGACACATGGTCAAAGGGGAATGAAAGTAAAAAGTCTTTCTGAGCTCCAGTACTCATTGTTGTCTCAGCAGACTATTCTCTGTCCAGTAACTAATCTGAAATTTGGTGGAAGGCTCTATACTGTATGCTAACATGCTTAGAGTGAAGGTTCTAAATATGTAAAATTAGAAGACTTTGCTGTAAACAGCTACTAAAAGCTGCAAAGGATTTTCTGTAAGGAGACTTCACTTTATTTCAATGGAAGTTACCTGCAGAGTGCTCATTCCTTAATTTTGTAAAATAAATACCTGTGTTATTTTTTCTTCTTACTCAAAAATCGGTGTTGGGTTTATATTTGTGAGTCTTAAATAGTTATGATATAGTTAGCATACAGCTCTTTGGCAAAACCATGTTATTCAGATAAAAATTGTTCCAAGAAAGAGCTTTATAAAATACAGGTACTTCTGTGTTGTCTAGTCATGTTCATGTGAACGACTATGCCCATCAGTAATCACTTTGATCGTATTCTAAGCCTGCTACTACTTCATGGCCAAATCTGATTCTGATAGTCTGATTTTATAGAGGAGCAGCCTGTCAGGTTGGTCCATTCATGCCCTCAGCTGTTCCCTCTGGGAACAGAGCAGATGTGGATCCCATGGCCGACCTCAGATTGGTGACACTGGCACAGGTTGTAGTTGTCAGGGCTGGAGCACTTTTGAGATGTGGACTAAAACAGTGAAACCCCTTCTGATAATGCTGAAAGGCTGTGACTTTGGTGTCCCTTTTTTGAATGCATTGCCTATTGCACAACAGGCTGAGAAAGCACCAGCTTTAACAGATATGGTTATATTGATTATCTTAATCTACATACATAAGTGAAGCTGTGTTGAGCAGTATCCATTGGTAGTTCTACAGGGTTGAGTGTAAGTCACCTTTGCAGAGGGAAGTCTGTGTCTGAGTGGAGCTGTCTTTTCATTCAAGGAGATACAGGAAGTAAACTTGATGAATATACAGCAATGTACTCTCCTGTTTCAGATGATGTATTGCTGGCTAGTGACAGCTCAGACCTCATCTTTGAGGTGTGCTGCAGCATCTTCTTACTAGAAATTGAATTAAGAAGAGGTCTTGAGTCATGGTGTCTCATACAAATTTAAGTGCTTGGTGCCTGGCACAAAGGCCTCTGAGAACATTGCTGTAACAAAAATACGTCCTTGTTTTTATTATACTTGCCAAGAGGGCTTACATATTCCTAGTGTTTTCCTCTTCTCAGTATAAATCTGTCTGCTTTGCAGATAGGTTTAACTCATTTTCATCTGCACACACTGGATGGTAATTTTTTACTGGATTTTTTTTTTCCACTGAAGCATGCATTTTAAAAGAACTAGATACTGTCCTGAAGGGCAAGCAGTGTTCTAAGCTGAAAGATTACACTGGTAGTTAATGAATGTAAACATTGACTGAAATCCTGATTTTAATATTTAAAGATTTCAGATTTAAAACCTTCTGAGAATATGTTAAGTAGGGGTGCTTAGGAGAAAGTGGTAGTAAATTCTGAAGTTCTTTGAGAGAATACAAATACTACTTCTATTTGCGCTTTATACTAATAAGCTATAAGAAAAAAGAGCTTCAAGCATGGTACTGAAGTGTCTGTAGGAAGTAGCAGATAGTAAGAAACCAAAAATTTCATTTGTAGGGATTGTGTCTCTTATTTTTGGCAACTTCTTTGCTTAACCTGCCAACTCTCACAGCTATCACTTGAAAATTGTAAACTGGTTCATCATGATGTTAAATGAAATATTAAAGCAGTGGTGAAAATGCTTGAATTTGGTGGTGTAATGTTTACATTTCTAGAAACAAGTGTCTTTCCTAGTAACCGCAGTGGAAAATTTCAGTAAAACTGTTTTTTTAAATTGATATCTCCAGAGTAGTGCTGTTCAGTGTTGTACAGTGTGTGTCGTCATTAAATATTTAAAACCGTAGGTTTTCAGTCGGTTTCTTGACTTGCTTTCTGTTCAGTGGTTTTGACATTGCATAACTGTAATTGTTCACTTGTTGAAGTAGCTGTGGAATTAAAATCTTAGCACAGCTGTTAATTCAGTCTGTATGTAAATTGTTTGAAGAGACTAAATCTAGAACTATCAGCAAGTAATTAAGGAATGATCAAACTGACAGGATACAGGTAGGGAGATGAATCTAGGGAGTCTCTGCTTTAAAGTTATATCACAACAGAAATGACTGGACTTTGACATCAACAGAGAAAAGAAACTGTATATCCCATACTCCAGGCAATGTTCTCCTGCATAGGAATTAATTCCCTTACACCAGTAATATTTTATGGTGTCCTCGTTTTTCTCTAGTGGTGCTGACTTACAAGAATCAAAGATGGCTAGTAGTATTTTGCCAAAAAAAATCAAATTAAATTACACTGGGTTTCTGAAGTTAATATTTCTTTGATTTCTTGCCTGGCGAGAACTTCTGATGCTTAGCAGGATGGCTGGATATAGTGTTTGGATATTGGTGATGAACCGCTGATTTTGGTTTAATGTGTGTTATTCCTGTGACTAATTGCCCAGATTCGAGTATATGTCAGTTAGGATACATGAGTAGTCACTGGGGTACTTTCCATGAAGGGTAACCTGTGATTGGTGTTATATCTTAGGTGTAAAAAATATCTTACTGCACTGGGGAGCCCAGAGCAGTCCCATGCAAGTGTCTCACCAGTGCTGAGTAGACAGGAAGAATGACCTCCCTCGACCTGCTGGTGATGCTTTTGCTAATTTAGCCTAGGTGGCTGTTGGCCATCTGTGTCACAAGGGTACATTCTGCTAGCTTATGATCAGCTTGATGCCTACAAGAACTCCAGGGTTCTGTGACAACCTGCTTTTCAGCCAGTCAGCTCCCAGCACGTAGTGGTACGTGGGATTATTCTCTCCAGGGGGAGGACTGATTTTCTTGAATTCCTTTGAGTATCCTGCTTACCCAGTTCTCCAGTCTGTTGTAGTCCCTCAGGATGTCTGGTCTGTCAGTCACTCGTCCAAGTTTTGTAACATCTGTAAAAGTTTGAGTGTGCACTGCCCCATTATATAGTGAGGATGTCCTGTTTGAAAAGAGCTTATACTCTATAATCTCTGTTGTGAGTACTTGCAAGAGTGCATGTAGAAAAGAGCTTGGTAACAGATATTCACTTAAGTTCAAAGCTGTTGTAAAGTCCACAATACCTACAGCAAACCATGGGGGTTTTAGTTTCTCAGCAGTGAAATATTGATTAGCAGTTGCGGAGCTGTTTTGTTAAATTTAAAGAAAAGTTACTGTTGTTCTTCCTTCCTTAGCTGACGGTTACAGGAATTTGAAATTTTCTCCAGAGGACCAGACAAAATGCATATAGGAAGAAAAACATCTGACAGCTTAAAAAGGATTGGATAGGACACTTCAGTGTATCTTAATTCCAAAGATAATTTAAAACTATAAAACAGTTCATTGTGTTCAGTTATAAATGGACTTTGTTGCTGTCCCTGCCTACTGTGTGGAGTTAAATTTTGAGGTGTTGGTGGAAGGGTTCCTTTTGAAAACAAACATTGACTTAGCTACTCAGAACTCCTTGGTTTTGCTAATACATGCATTTATTGTGTCTAGGCCTGTCCCCAAGGCAGACTGACTCTGTTCTTTGGCCTTTAGTCTCCTGAAAATTATCCTGCCAAGTTCTAAGGCATGGAACTTTGTTTCTTAAAGAAACTGAGAGCCAAATGGGCAAGTTGGGCAAGTTTGTTCATTCTTTAGCTGTTGTTATTTCTCTGCCTGGTAGAAGTAGGTGGCCATCACTGTCCTTGTTGCTACTTTGAATGCAGGCAACCTTTAGACTCGTGCTGTAACTTTGAACATAGGTCTTCAGCTCTTGTGTGGCTGTCATGTAGAAAGAACAAGGCAGTGTGGCTCACGAGGCTGGACAGCTATAAGTGAGCCACACTTATAGCTGTGTTGGACAGCTGTAAGTTTTTTAGGTCAGCCCTGTTCAGCCAGCACAAAGGTACCTTGCATAAAGCCTCTGGGTAGAACTTGAAGGATCACAGCAGCGTTCAGGATAGTGCTTGTTTAATCTCCAGGGTGCTCTCTTTTGTTTTGCTACCACAGGAGTCTTAGGAGTCTGCTGATCTGCATGAAAATGAGACAGGAAGGATTTGAAAAGAAATATCAAAGAGTTAGGCAAAAGACAGATTTACAGAATCAAGCTTCAGCTGCCCAGTGTTGGGTAATAGTGCAGGCTAATTGCAGGGGAGGGAAGGAAAGGACATAAATCTGACTACTCCTTCTTTATTTTTATGTTTTGCACGGTGAGAACCCCAGATAAAAGTATTTTGTCATGTTCAGGAAGCACAGATGTTTTGTTTTAATCATTCCTGTAGTAAGCATAAGACCACTTGTACAGACTTCAGCAGAAAGTAATGAACATGCTGGTTTTGTAACATGTCTAAAGGTTGAAGGATGTACTTGATCATCTTAAAATATTTCTGACTGACACTTGGAGGCACCAAGTGAAAAACTTTCTATCCAAAAGGATCTGAGAATCTCACTGTTAATTGACATTTAGTTGTAAGACCTCTGTGTTGCTAAAATTGGCAAGCTGCTGCTGAACAGTCAAAATAGAGGTTGGATTCCTGCTTCTGCCATTCATTCTGAGGCCTGTGAAAGTGATATAGCAGAGTTTATCTTGCCCTCATGAATGATTGTGTCATTTGACAGGATGCTCAACACATGTACATGCACTTGAAAAACATTTGGAAACCTTTAAGTGCTTTGGACTGCCTTTTTGTGCTTTTGGCCTAGATATCACACTGAAATCTTCATTTCTTGTATGTTTTAGTGCTTTTTAATGAGAATTAAAAAGACATTCTTGGAGCTTCTTAAATTTGTCTTTTTAATCTTACAGTAAGCTAATGGAGAACATTTTCTTCACCAAGGCTTGCTGGAGTGTGTACCTAGCTTTTTCTCATTTATTTGAAAGCAGTTCTCCAATTACAGACAGTCCATGCAGTCAGCTTCTTCTATGTGGTCTGTGTTGCATTCCATCTGTATTTTCAGAAGCCAGCTCCAGAAAAATAAAAAACAAATCTGAAGGCCCAGTGACCCACGTTCAGAACAAATTACTAACCTATTTCATCTGGTTTAAAAGTGTTGGTTTTCTAGGGGTTTTTTTTGTTGTTTTTTTTTTCCCCTAAGGTTTCCTATGCGCGACCAAGTTCGGCTTCTATCAGAGATGCAAATTTGTATGTTAGTGGACTTCCAAAAACAATGACCCAGAAAGAACTGGAACAGATCTTTTCCCAGTATGGACGCATTATTACTTCTCGTATTCTAGTTGACCAAGTCACTGGTAAGTAGGCAGTTTTGCATGGCCTCTCCTTTTTGGACTGGCAGTTTAAGAAATATTTCATCTTTCAGTATGGTGGTCTTGTCTCTATAATGTAGACCAGAAAAAGCATTTTTCTCCTGGAATTGTTCATAAATATGCATGGGCAAAAATAGACTGTGGAATGTACTGAGCCAGCTTGAGTCATTTCCACCCTGAAGGTGCAGGTTTGAAGACTGTTTGATGACTTGTACTAAATTTACAGCTGCTATAATCTTCCTCGCCAAGCTGCTGCATGAAAATAGTCTCTCAGCGCCTTACAAAATGCTATTAAACTTTATTTTTCTAAAAAAGAAAACTTTATGCAAAAATGCACAGCTGGTTCTCTGAGACTAGGATTACAGAAGACCCACCCTTGTAATTGCTGTTAAGATTGTTTTCAAGGTTGACTCATTAACTGGGGGCATATGCATGAACTTTGAGTTCCTCATGAGCAGGTAAGTTCTGTGATTAGCTAGGTTTGACTTTTTTTATAGTTGTACCTTTTCAAAGTCAGATATCCCTGTGCGTGAAAAACAGCTTTCAGCTGTAGGAGGTCATAAGCTTTGCAAACTGTCTTACTTTGAAAGGATTGTACTGACCTGTGGAGGAGCTTGCATGTAGTCCTTTGCAGTTAAAAGAAATCTCAATATTGACACATTATACAGTGTTTTAATAGTGTGAATTGCTGAGAGTGTAGAGAGGCATGGAAAGGAAAGCTAAAGGCCAAATACTGATGCATAGAAGTAGCAAATTTGTGGGTCAGATTTCCAGTCTTTGCAATAAATAATCATTTACAGTATGTTCCTGTATATTCTTGCTTAGAAATAGATAGGGTCTGACAAATGGGCCAGTAAGTAAATGTAATTAAACTTCTAATGTGCTGGATAATTCTAAGTATTAATAAATCCTGGTATTTGCACAGTAGTTTTCTAGCATAGAGACTGTTGTTCAGGTTTAAGCTTTCTTCCTTCCTTCTTAGTAATTTGGGAGAGGTAGGCTCAAAATGATATGAATAATAAGGTTGTGACACAAACTGACAGATAAAAAAATGTGAAGTTGAAACTGTGACATTTGCCTCTTTGAAGCTTTTTTTTTATACCCACATATTGTCACTTTGATGGTTTAAATCATCATTGTTTATGAACCAAAACATAAAGGACCTCTAAATGGCACTAGGAATATTACAACAAAGCATTCAAGTAATGTTGGCTGTTAGTAGCTTTAACGTTAATTGATTCAAGTGTTGAGACCTTAGTGTTTATGTCTAAGACAATATAAATTTTTAATGTGCAATGTTCCTAAGACCTTCCTTCACTTTGCTGATCCCCTTGCATGTTGTGTTTGACTTCTCTATACCAAGAAAAGTTTCCTTCAAAAATAACACTTAATGGTGTATGGTGATACACTGAAAATGAATCTTATACTTAAAGGTAACCATGGACTGTTAAGACATACCCATAATTCCTGTTACTGCAGTCTAGAACGTGCATGTCATCATCTTCTCAGCATATTTGCTCCAAAGGGACCTTCAAGGGGTACTGCAGGAGGGCATATGCCATTTTTTGCTGCTGGGGAGCAGATAACTAAGCTATTTACGGAATTCCTGTGAATGTAGATACTGCAGAGTAGTGTAAACTGACTGGAGGTTACAGTGCAGCTGGTTCTGAGTTCATCTCCATCCTCACCAAAATTGCTTTGTTTCAGAGTTCCTCTTTGACTCACTAGGTTTAAGTTCTTTCTCCTGTTTTCCCTCAACCCTCCAAGCTTTTTGCACAAATGAGTCTTACATCAGTTAAATTAAAAATTAAAATTACAGTAGAAAATTCTTATTCTGAGCCAAAGCTCGGTTCTCTTATGCTCAAAATTTGTCATGTCTTCACACTGATTGACCATTAACATAGCAATTGGCCTTGAAAATAAAATGTTAACAGCTAATATTCTGGAGTCTCTGAATTAATTATATGCTTCCTTCACGTTGTGCAGGGGTATCAAGGGGCGTGGGGTTTATCCGGTTTGACAAGCGAATTGAAGCAGAAGAAGCTATCAAGGGCTTGAATGGCCAGAAACCTCCAGGTGCCACAGAGCCCATCACTGTAAAGTTTGCTAACAATCCAAGCCAAAAAACCAGTCAGGCCGTTCTTTCCCAGCTGTACCATTCTCCAAACAGAAGGTATCCAGCACCTCTAGCTCAGCAGGCTCAACGTTTTAGGTAAGTCAGATAACGTGTACAGCTGTGCTGAAACCTGCATGTTCCCACTGATGTGTTTGTTTGCCTCCACTGTGGCGCTTTCCCGCTTCTCCAACTTCTGTGTGAACTTTAGCTCTGCTCCTACAGTACAGCTAAAGCAAAAAATGGATGCCATCCTACTGATAGCATTTCTGTCTAATAAACCTCCTTAACTAAACTA